AAGTATGTATTTTAATATGTATATTTCATTAATAATAGTCAATGAGGGGATTTTATACAGTAGAGCCTCGATTATCCGACCCCCGATTAACCGACACCTCGGTTAAGTGACCGTCCTAGTCGGCAAATTTAAAATGTCCGCTAGTGATGTGGCGCTACAATATTTGGCTATGTCTTGGCTACTTTAATATTATTTTTACGTGTTTTAGCTGGCAACACTCATTCGACCATGAAAGGGAGCCAGTATTTAAACGAGGCTTAATTTTCTAATTTTTAACGATACAATAGCGACGATTATTATTTTAAAAAATTTTTGTTAGGCTTAACATCGATGAAAATTCAACGCAGAGTAGGTTAATAGCGATATACTAATATACTAATATACTACACTAATAATAGATTTTTTCATACTTTTCGGTTATCCGCCCTTTCAATTATCCGACCAACCCCAGTCCCCAATTAGGTCGGATAATCGAGGCTCTACTGTATAAAACAATCGCAAACCCAAGGGATTTTTACACTTAATTTTTAAATAAGTAGAACTTTAAAACTTCTGCATCTTTTTTCGTATGTCTTTGTACATTTTCATTTCATTTTCTCCGGATTTTTGAAGATTTTATAATTATGTCTAACAGATATTTGTGCGCGGAAACGCGCGGATTTTGACGTATAACCACTTTTTCTTTAACAGGGCGATGGCTCGTAGTCAGCGGGAGTGAACTTTGAAAAACTAAGAGAAAAAGATAAAATGATAAGCGGGTCATTCGAAGTAAAAAAATATGATCGTAGACGACATTAAAAAAAGTTCAGTTTAACAAATCCTAGTCGAGTTAGTGGAAAATGAGTTACGTCGAATTACTTGTTCTTTTTCCGTTGGTCTAAGCAGAGCCGGCCCTACCATAGGGCGAATGGAGCAGCCGCTCCAGGCGCTAAGTCCTAAGGGGCGCTCAGTGGTAAAGAAAATTAAAGGATATAAATTAGGGGCAACCAAAGGGGCGCCATAATAGGATCTCGCTCAATCCTAAAACTTGCCTCGGGCCGGCACTGGGTCTAAGTCAAAGATGGAAGAAACGTAATCGAAATATCAAACATTTTTCAACCAAAAATCGCTTATGGCTCAATGATTAGGCAATTATCGAAAATGTCGATTTGCCACAAACTAGTGCAAGCTGTGAAACACACAAAAACAAATACTGGGACGTCCCAAGAATTCTTTTTGGGACGTCCCATCCAGCCAAATGAACGATCTACCTAATATTAAAATGAGGCAATGTAATGAAGAAACTTTTTCATTTGGTCTATCGACTCTTCCTTATCACATAAGATTCATGGAATGCATTCTTCGCATAGTGTATCGAATGGATATTAAAATATGGCAAGTGCGCGAGACTGAAGAGAAAGAGTCAGTATCAACAAGAAAAAAAATATTATTAATAGATTTAGAACCGAAACTGGTTTACTTCTGGATACTCCCAAGCAAGGTGGTGGAAACACCAACGACGGTAATTCGGCAAGATTTTTTTCGAATGCCACTCTTATTGCAGAGATAACCGGTGTTAACAAGAACCTAATAGAACGATTTTCGGTTATATTACAAGCGCTGGCATCCGGCTACAAAATCGACACGAGAAAATTCGAAATCTACACGAAGGAAACAGCGGAGTTATACGTGATGCTTTATCATTGGTATCCCATGCCAGTCACTTTTCACAAAGTTTTAATACGCGGATCAAAAATTAGTTTCTAGTTTCAATAGGACAATTGTCCGAAGTGCAAAAAGCTAGACACAAGGAATTTTAAAAATTTCGTGAGAGTTATTCCCGAAAAACCTATAGAATAAACACTAATATAGATATTTTACATAATCTTTTAATTTCTTCAGATCCTCTCATTACAAACCTTAGATCACTTGGTATAAAAAAACTCCGTTAACCGCTAACGTTTTAAAATTACTAAAAGCACTGAGCGTGACCGTAGTGTAAGAAAAATCCGAATGTGACTCCGGTATGTAAATTTTTAGTTAATACGATATCTAAGTAAAAAATTTTTATTATAAAAATGAATTGCACCAGCCTATATACTTAAGTCCTGCTAGAATCGTCCCACGACCCACTGTGCACCGGTGTGAACCGAGTATAACTTACNCGAATGTGACTCCGGTATGTAAATTTTTAGTTAATACGATATCTAAGTAAAAAATTTTTATTATAAAAATGAATTGCACCAGCCTATATACTTAAGTCCTGCTAGAATCGTCCCACGACCCACTGTGCACCGGTGTGAACCGAGTATAACTTACTAAACCCAACATAATAATTTTTATTCTTTATATTTTAAAGCTGTTTTTTGTGTACAGGCTTACTTCAGTTTATTAACACTCTATTCCCGTATTTTGATTCCTCCCGCGAGGACTGTCTATGAGGAAACTGGGTCCTATTTAAAAGTTATTTAAAAAAAACTTTTATATTATTAATTATTATAAAATGGGTTTTTGAAGGATAGAAATGAGTTATATTTAAAAAAAATTGTAAATGCTAAATAACGAATAAAATTTTCATAAATTTCGATCTCTGTTGAGACACATAGCCCCCATCTCCCATCCCCTCGAACTTTAACAACCAAAATTTAATAGTGCATCAATGCCCCTTATGCACAAGTCACCATGGCAAATTTCGTTTTTTAATCTTTACCCTATCCTGAGATATAAATGGATACCAACACGCACATACACGGGATTTCCCCCTTTTTTGACTTTTTGGGTTCAGTGTGTGAAAAACCTGGGAGAAAAATTTGTTTGTTTGTTTGTTTAGTTATGGCAACGCAACACTTGGGCAATCTGCCTAGGATCTGCCTTCCGGCAGTTCTTTTTAGGGGAAACTGGCTCCTATTTAAGCGTTACAGACGTGGAGAAAACCCGGAAAACTTCACGTGGCCAGCCCGTCCGAGCGAGGCGCGAATCCACGACCGAACTCCCAGGGCCGATTGCAGAGACAAAGTTTAGAGGCCGACGGCGGTTTACAGATCGGTTAGACCGCTGTTCAGAAAAATTTCATTGCAGAGACGGCGTTTCTCGCCTGCCACAATGTAGACAACGATTAGAAACAAGTTATTTGACCTACTTTCTAGACTCACTGGACAGCAGGTTTAGAGGGCTTTTCAATTCGAGTGGTAGCTTTGTTCGTGGAAAAGTTTAGATAAAAACAGATATCGTTCCTTCGATAAATGTTGTAAACAGTACGAATCGACAAAATTATTCATTAATTAATTGCTCGGCGCAAAAACAACAAAATTAAATACTTTAAATTTGTTTTAAATGTTCCAATTTCGACATTCAAATGGGTGAAGACTTAAAACTTCAATTTAATTTAAATCAGATGCATTTATTTACAATTCGAGTATCGTGTCGGTTATAAAACGTTAATGCATTTCCGAGTCATTGTAC